TGTCAATCCCAGAACAAATTAAAACATGATGTGTAGCCACATTATTTTTACTTAGAAAGTGTAATATTCACTTATTGGTAAGAACAGCTATTAGTGCCCCTCCATTGTCATTCAATGTCTATGCAGTGACTACATGTACAGTCATTAAGAGTAAACATTTTTAAAAATATTTGTGTCAATTTAGGTGTTTCGTGAACTTTCCCTTTCTTAGAACTAAAGAATAATAGAAAAGGGACTATCTAATCACATGTAAACAGTAGCAGCAAAACAGGCTTTTTCCCAGAAAGCTCTTTTCTTCCAAGTATTTGAAGAAAAATTTTCCTTTGTTTTTTGTTTAACACTTCACTCCTACTTAGAATTTTACATTTTTACTTCTGCCCTATAAGAGCCCTTAGTTATAGTCATAGTTGTTTATTTCTTTGTTACTGAGGTTATTTATCTAGGCATGTTTCATAAAGAAGAAATAAATACATTTAGTGTAATATAATTTATTTTTATAATATTCTTATGTCTTATTTTAGGTGTTTTTATTTGGAATAAAAAGACTTGGGCTGGGAGCGGTGACTCACGTCTGTAATCCCAGCACTTTGGGAGGCCGAGGCAGGTGGATCACGAGGACAGGAGATCAAGACTATCTTAGCTAACGCAGTGAAACCCTGTCTCTACTAAAAATACAAAAAAATTAGCTGGATGTGGTGGCACGCACCTGTAGTCCCAGCTACTTGGGAACTGAGGCAGGAGAATCACTTAAATCCAGGAGGCAGAGGTTGCAGTGAGCCGAGATTGTGCCACTGCACTCCAGCCTGGGCGACAGAGTGAGACTCCATCTCAAAAAAAAAAGACTTGGAGGCCTATGGGTAGGCTTCAAAGAGTCTGCATTACCCCAAAAAATATATATAAAATTATATATGTGTGTTGTATATAATGTACATTTTCCTAGGGAGAATGTCAAGTTTTATTAGACTCTCAAAGTCTATTACTACAAAAATAAGAGCCACTGATTTATTAAAACCATCTGAAATAGCATGGAAGTATCTTCATTATTTCCTGGAGGTGGTCTTCCCTCTCTACTTCTCCCACCTCCTAATGCCCTTTCATTGTTCTAGCAATGCTTTTCTTTTCAGGATTAAGTCTTGGGAGCATGTTGAGAGTGGGGTTCAGGGATTGGTGGTTTGGAAGTGTGGGTGGAGTAATGAACCTTCAGGTTGAACTTAAATCTGTTTAAATGAAAATTGTAGATTAAAGAAAAGGGGGAAAAAATTACAAAGGCAGCTCTGGGTAAAATGGGAGAGGTTATGGAGATATAATTTATTTTGTTGTAATTATATGTTCATTCTAGGACATATACTGGCTTTTTCTTTTTTAATCATGAAGCATATCAAAGCTACAATAATGGCCTGGGTATGGTGGTTCATGCCTGTAATCCCAGCATGTGGGGAGGCCGAGGCAGGAGGATTGCTTGAGCCCAGGAGTACAAGACCACCCTGGGCAACATAGTGAGATCCCATCTCTACAAAAAGTAAAAAATAAATCAGCTGGGTGTGGTGGTGCACACCTATACTCCCAGCTACTTGGTAGGCTGAGGTGGGAGGATCACTTGCGCTTGGAAGAT